AACCTAAAAACGCAGCTTAATAAATTAATGACAAGGGTTAAATGAAGTTGTTGCCTTAAAAAATTAGCTGCTGGAACTTGATTTACAGTAGATCTTCCACAGTTTTATCTCCAGGATTCTCAGGTCAGTCAATGCATCTGCAGTATGAGGATGAGGAAAGCCTGAACTGGGAAGTGACAGAAAGGTAGAATAAGGAAAAAGGTAACAACTAGAGAGATAAAGAAAGGGGAAAAAAGTGAAGAGGGAAAGTTATATCTTAGGAAAGAGAACAGAACAGAATGATTATAGAATAAAATATATTAATAAAATATGTAGCTATACAAACAGGAAAGAAAGTAAAAAGCAGAAAGATGGAAACAGTAAAGATTTTTCCTTTCCTTTACATTTACAAAGCTTAGTTTTCTGATAGAAAGACAGATGGTAAAATACTAAAATACCTTTTAAAAATGTTAGAATGCAACAGGTAGTCATAGATATATCACCTATACCCATGTGAGTACCTGTTAACTAACTTTGTTAAGAGAGGGGATTTCCCTCATGGCAGGATGTGCAACCACTGATCTAAGTGTTTCATAACGACCTTGCCAGAGAGAACAAAACACACATTCCTTGCAAACCTCTGCTAACCATTCCCTGAAACACCCAGGTCAAAAAGAAGGTCTTGCAGCCCTGAAGGTGAGCTCCTCCTGGCTCTGTTGGATGAGACACTCCTTCCCCCCACAGCTATGCTGTTTCAGCCACAAGCAACCTGCCCTAGAACAACCTGTCGCACTCTCTCTTGTTTGAGCACTCAAATTAACCATCAAATGCGGTCTTAAATAAATATAGATTAATGGAAAGGGCTTCTTTGACAACAGAGTCTTTCGATCTCTCTCTCTCTCTCTCTCTCTCTGAAGGAGGGATGCTATACAAATGGGTTTACCTCTGAGTATCTGCTACAAAGTGTTTCCTTTCAAATGTCAAACCAAATCCAGTGCTACATTAAACCGTTTGGAAGTTTGAAGACTTCTCAGGAACTGTGTCTTGTGATTAATCTGTATATCACTGGTATATTATCAGTACTGTTCACAAGACATCATATTTCACATATTGCCTATCTGCATCCTCAGGTCTGCAACAGAGGAAACGTACAGCTGACAACTTAACATGCACTTCCTTTATGCCCCATGGCTGCCTAGCTCTGTGGAGCTCTGCTCCTCCCCAGTGCCAGGCTCTCAGGAAATATTTCCCTCAGCCCTAAAGCATGCAAGGGTCCTCCACAGGAATGGGTGGCTGAGCTGAAATGGGTGAATGCCGTGTTTGCACTGGGGAAACACAGTAAAACACTGACTGTAATAAAGGCCTCAAGCGGAAAGGCTGGTCCTATTTAAATTGGTGTGAAATATAGCAAACTGTCTCCCAAGCTTAAATTGTCAGCAATAGGCACAGAACGTGGCTAAGAAATTATTTTTCTTGAAAAACTTAAAGATTTGTAGTGGGATGCTGTCTTCATAAACATAGTTGTATTATTCTGGAGGGTTTTTCCAAACATGCAATAGAAGAGTGAATGATAAACATGTTTGTATACTGCTCCTCATTTCCTTTTTGGCCCCCAGTCAGGAAATGTTGAAAATCAGTGTCAGTATTGCTGGAGATTAATGGCTGCTGCTCAGAAAGCATACAGAAAGGGAATATATTCCTGCCAGGACAAATACATAGGCCATTGGACAAAAATCTGTGAACCACAGATAGGACTATACTATCATTGTAAAGATCCACTGCCTGTGTTGCTCTGTAATTAATAATATTCATATGTGGGTTTGACTGAAATCACTGTTGTGGTGGGGGCAACCAGGCAAATTAATGCCATACCTTCATGGTCTAACTTATTCTAAGGCATTTGAAGTTTTCTTTTCAAATCAGCTTTGCAGCATTTAAAAGTTAGATTTTTCTTCCAGGTATAGGCAGAATTCCTTCATGGATTTTTTTACCCCTATATATTCAATATGGGTTTAAAGACCATGTAATCATTGCTTTTTTATACGAGCAATTGGATCTCAAAAGAGAAAATACACTCCACTGAGCTATTAGGCCTTTAAAATCAATCCCTGTCACCAGTTCATTTGTTTCCCACTCTCCTTCAGAGAGGTTGTACTTAAGAGCTCTCTGGCTCCATGTATATTGGGACACATCACTGCAGCTTCTATATACTTTTTCTCCCCTTTTGTTTTCTTACAAAATAAGGAATAGGTTACAGTGACCTCTGACATTTATGGAAAGCTTTCCTTCTCTATATTCAGTAAATTCACAGGGTCTAGCCAGGGAACCTGAAGACAAGAAGAGCTGAGTCCGACTTGGTCCTAGAAACTAAAGCACAGGCAAGCTATCCGAGGTCATTATAATTTAAAAAAATAATAAAGGTAAAAATGGGGACATAAAACATCACTGCCAGGGCATGTCCCCACGGTCTTCTGGCATGTTTGCCTTCAAAATGAAGAGCTGGGGGGTCAAGTCCTAAAGTAAGGACTCAAAATTGATACCAACAGCAATGTGGCATGGATCTGTATTTGCTTTGTTGTTATATGATGTGAATAGTGAACTAAGCTTATGATACAAATGAGTACATTACCAATTTACCCTGCTAACCCCATGGCTGAGCTCACTGTTTGGGGGTTACTGTTTGATGGTACAGGCATAAGATGCCCCCTGCTCATGGCTGCTCAGTAAACAGTCATGGTATTTTATCCCATTTTTTAATTCAAAAAATAATGGATCTCCCTACAGATACAGCCTGATGGCATTCTCAAACTAAAGTCTTATTCCATATGCCTATATAATGTTTGTTTTGCCAGCATTGAAATGGCTTCAAAATAAACCCACAGTCTGATTTGTCAGTCTAACAAAACGCTAGCCAGCCACCAGAGATGTCCAAACAGATATGAAAATCAAAAGCCATGAAATGGCTCAGTGCCTTAAGTCACTGTGACAGTCAGGAGGTAATACCAGACTATCTACTTTGGCTGGAGTCTTCCCTGGCTCATCTTCATTTGCGGTGTTAAAACCAGGCTCTCATCTCAAGCCCGAGTGTTGTAGCTTGCCCACCTCAGAAATGGACCAACACAGGTACCGGGAAAATAACTAAAATGGGGGGTGAAATGAAATTAAAAACACCTATGGCCACAAGGAGCAGAAGAACAGTCGCATTCTATGGCTACCAGTGTGGTTGTCCTCACAATCCTCCTGTCACGTCAGGAAGCTTTAGCAGTGCCTCACATCTCTGTGGGGTCCGTATGTTCGAATATACATAAAAGTATTGTCCAGGACAAGGGAAGTATCAACTTGTTGAGGATGTTCAGCCCATATTGCACAGCACAGATTGCAGCTATCCCCACCATCTACATAGGGATTATGAGAACATGAGCAGTTCTTTGAATGTTCTGTAGCTACCTCTTGAAGTAAAAGCTTATGGTGAAGAACAGGGAAATTACTCAAATAATAAAAATCACGTTTATTGCCACACCGGAAACTTTTTTAAGCTCCCCTTTCCAGATATAAAGGTGACTACAGGGTAAATCTTTCTGAACAACACAAACATGATACATTTCTCTTGAGGTTTGACTCTATTCACCACAGAAGCTACATGCTAGCTCCATCTTTAAAAAAGAAGTGATATATACAAGTTTTTGTATGAAGTAAGATGAAGGACTGTTCTGTGATGACAATTTCATTTTTTCCTTTGCAAAACTGCAATTTCAACAGATTTTCTTCCCTTTTTTTTTGCTTCAAATTTTCATTGTAAAATGACCATTATCTGGTTTTGACAAAATTATTTATTTTGAATGCATACTTCCTGTAACTTGAAAGTACTTTCTGACAAACTAGAGGTGAAATATGTACAGAAAAAGTGATACCTAATGACATTTAATGAGATGGAATCTGAGAGTTGTGGTAATGGTGCAACTCAGGTGACTCATGTATCAAAGAAATTAAAAATACGTTTCTTGTAATCAGCTAAGATGGTAACAAGTCCAAAATTAAAGTAAAAATGTTACGAACGAGGGTTTCAGGAGAAAAGTAAGACCTTATATGAAATGCTAAATAATAATGGTTAACTAGAATAAAGAGATTAAGACAAAATGTTTTCACACAGGTTGGGCAGCCTGTCCATAGGATCAGAGAAAAAGGTCACTAAAGCACAACCAAAAGAATGTATAGATTTGGTAAGCAGTCCTACCACAGAAGGGGTAAGTCTCAAAAAGTCAGAAGTCTTCATATGGACTATTTGAAATACCACGTTTCAGCTCCTTATTTTGAAATTCCCTGAAGGCTGACACTACTGAGAGTTCAATGACTTATTAGCATCAAAGAGAATCTCAAAACTGGACAGACATTTGGGGGACAAGTTGAGCACTGGCTGCCATCAATTCTGCCCACTTACTACTGGGCAGAATTAACATGCAAACCAGGACAACTGAGAAAGCTTTCAAGCAAGCACTACTCCAAGAAATAAACCTAATGGATCTTTGAAAGGCAAAGAATGTACAGAGCGCTGGACACCAGATGGGACAGGCAGAGGTTTGGCTGAGCCCTCAGCAACATCTGAATATGCAGAAGGTCTGGGGGACATCTTAAGTTCATTTTCAGTATTTCTGACTTGCAGATTGTCTCTTGAATATTTTCATTAATGATGGTAATTACATTCACTATATTTGCTTGTCTTGCCCCTCCCTTTTTTTCCACTCTCTGCAACTGATTCCCCTGTGTTTGTTTTCTGCCTCACCTGCAGAACCCCATTTCCTTGTCAATTCTGACAGGTGTTCATAATTTATTTTGCTTTGGTAGCTGCAGACAGAGTTGTAAATAAAGTAGTACTTAAAACTGTTAAACACCGACCACAGCTCTCTCCTTGTGATCCTTTGCCTTTAATTTGCATGTCCCTGTCCGTTGAGCCCTGTGCTCTTTGGACAACCTAAAAATAAACAGCTACATAGAAAACATGGTTTAAAAAATATTTAATTTACCTGCAATTCTCCTTCCATTATACTAAGTAGTTTTATCAAGTCCTCTTTAGAAAGCTCTATGGACTTCTTGTTCTTTCGTTCAGAAGGTCCGGGTGATTTTGAGTGCCGTTTGACAGTTGCTGAAGCCATGACCTCATCTTCCTTCCGATGAGGTTTGTTCTTTTTCTTGGCATCCTCCTGAAGTTTTTCATTCTCTGCATGGCTGATGACAGGCTTGGAACTGGAGAAGTGCCCGTTAGATGAGCTTTCTCCACCTTGGTTTCGGGATCTCATCCCTGCCTAGAAAGAAACAAACATAAAGATGCATTTATAAACAAAATTATTTACAAAAAAAGCCACAGTGGAAATACTGCCTTTGGAAAGAACAACAATCTACTATAAACTGAAAATACTGTGATGCTCAAGAGACTGTGGTAGAAAGCTCAACCATTTTAACAAATCTGTGTGTGGCAGAAGCAAAATCCTGAAGTAAGGGTAACAACCATTTTCAGCAAGCCAAGATGCTAATATGAATTTAAATCTATGGAACTTAAAAGTGATGCAGAAAAATGGTAAATAACATGTTCCAGTGTTTTCTTTCCTTCAGTTGACATTTTGATCATTTACAACTCAACACTGCAAAACAAAGCAGGTTGTTAAGTAGCTCTTATTTTAACATGTGGTTTACTTCAGAAACAGAAATGCAATTAAATTTTGGAAAAGCATATTCCTTGGGTAAAAATTCTCCACAAGAGTGGAATGACAATGCCTGACAAAGGTTACTCTTTAGTTTCTCTAAATGAAGCAATGATTTTATTCCAGGTAACCAAGAAAAATGGTGAATGCAGAGTAAATCAGTTGGCAAATAATGCACAAAATCATTAGTAAGTCCCACAAAGGAAAGTTGAAAAGAAGTTTGAAAAAAGAGCACAGAAAGCTTGAAATCACTAAGAGGTAAATGGGCAAGATCAATGCAGTCTTTCCAGAAGATTTCTCTGAAATGTCAGGTTATGGTTATGGAATGCTCATATCTGTCCTCTTAAGCACCTACACTGCAGTCTTAGACTATGACAACAAATGTTCCTCAGCTCTATCACTTGACCTACTGTGTTGCTAAATTTTTATTTTAATAGATCTAATGAATAATATTCCACTGTTTCCAAGTATTTCCTCTCACTTAAATTTATCTCTGGATTTAGTCTGCAGCTTGTTCATTAGTCAAACAGAAGCTTCTCAACATCAATAACATCTCACACTTTTCTGATAAGGATTTCAGAGCAGCAGGTCACTAGTGATGGGGCAAAACATAAAATACATTGACTAATCAGCTTGGCTAAATTATACTGGGCCTGCTATGGCTTGCTACTTATTTGACTCAGATCAGTGTTATAAATCTCTTGCTCACATTAGCCTTGTGCTTCTGTAGTTTCACACAGCAGGAAGATTGTCTTTTTATTATCACTTGATACTCATGTCTTCATTAATTCAGTGGAATTTGTCTGGCATAAATGGAGAGAAAATTAGACCCAATGTTTTCGAGCAAGAGAGTTTCACAGAAATGCCTTGCATTGTAGGTCTGCTCCTATCCAAACAATATATGATACAGGTATACAATGGCCTTTAGCTTCCTGAATGTTTATGCAGTGTGTTTTTCATCAAACAGTTTGGATTAAACACATGAATTACACTTTCTAAAAACAGATCTCCATTATAAGTATGAACAATACCTGAGAACCTCAGGAAATCTTTTAGGTTTTGGGTTTGTAATGGAAAAATAAACACTGTACTATGTTTCCTCTCAGATAGGGCTTCTCAATTTGTTTAACTTTAATGGGTTTTAAACTTTCCAACCATGCTTCCTCTTGGGAGAAAGCACTTGGGATTCAATCTGTCTCTATTTTCTAAGTGTTTCCTTCTGAGTCCCTGTGGATCACAGCCGCCAGCCACTTTCATCTCTAAACCAAACCTATTTTTTATGGCTTACAGTGAATGGTTTCATAGCTCTAGGACATCCTACGTGTTTTAAGAATAAATATTTAAAGACTGTCTTGTAGATGTTTTCCAGTGGAAAACAGCTTATTATATTACAGTATTCTGCTTAGTAACATGCCATGTTAGTGATTTCTCTATAGTAAGATGACTCAACTGTTAGACCTGAAGGCACACAATTAATTTTAAATTGAACACATGACTAGTTGAGACACATCATCCACCTGAAGCACTGCATGATCACCCAGATGCAATTAGCTGAATGTTAGACTTCACAAAAAGTGGTGTGTCACCCTGTCAAATCATAATTCAAGACAGCCATTTTGATCCATCTGCCCCTGTGGGAGCTGAAATAACAATTCATGAAATGTTGAAATTTAATGTAAATCAATACAGGCCCACAAAGGACAGATGCAAATTTATGGTTTTTTTCAAAATTCATTAAAACAGCAACAGATCAGCTTAACAAATTGACCTGGTATTTTGTATCATCTGGCTAATTAGAATATGATTGTCGTTAAAGGAGATAAAACTTGGCCTCTTTTGAAATTTCTTTTAAACTTGCAGATTTATTTTGCAGCAAGTCTTACAGGGCAGTGACAGTGGCAGACAAGCTGTCACTCTTGGGGGAAATGCCCCTAAAAGCCTTTCTTTCTGTAAAAGCCTACTAAAATCAATGTAACACTAATACTTACTCTGTCTTCCCTTATAAAGTTGATACTTTTCCAACATGTAGGTGACAGAAGCTTAAATAGTGACAGAAAGGGCCAAAGGTTTGATATTCACACAGTAATTTCCAAGGAGATTAAGGGCCAAAATCAATGGCATGATCCAGCTGTTGTGCAGTGCTCTAGGAATATAAAACAGCTGTAAGGATGACTGAGTTTTAATTAGAGTAGCATGAAGTAGCCAGAACGTACCAGTGATCTTGGCTGAAATACTGTGTGCTGGAAAGGAGTGCTTAGTATTGTCATTTTGGACATCCGCCTGTATTTCTGATGGCATCATGATAAAGAAGAAAAGTTTCTGAGCAGTTACATGACATTATTTTGATATGCAAATATCGAAATCCCAAAACTTTGCTGATCTGTTTTTTCACCCAGGTTCCAAAATTGATTCTGGGGACACTGCCAGTCCAACACTGGTAACAAATGAACTCCTACTGTCAGCCCTGATCACAGCTCTATATCTTACAGCATTCCTGATCTGCTGGAGGGACTGTGTTCCCTGAAGAAATAGCTGGTATGATTTATAATGACTTCAGCATTTAACTCTACTTTTTTTCCCCCCAACCCTTATCATATTGCCTATTAAACTGGAAACTGTTCCTAACAGTTTCCAGTCAAACAAGAAGACTTTATATGATCAGTCACTTTGATTTTGACATTTACTGGCTACTCATTTCAATATGTGCTCACAGTATCGGTACTTGGCATGGGAATTCTTCAGCCCCTCCTCTGTTTCAGTCATTTTTTAAGCTTTAAGCACAAAGGACAAATGCTATGATTATTTATTTGAGTCTGTACTGTTGTTCTGGGCATGGGTCCTTCAGTTTTCACAAGTTAGCAATCCACACAAGATTTTATGAAATAACCTTTATGTTAGTTTTACTGACATCAGGAGGAAATCTGTGAGGAATTTGCTGAGTAGGATGTCAGAAGAGGACAGGCTGCATGCTGTTCCAGATCCTTCCACCATTGATAGCAATTTGTTCTCCTTATAGCTGTTGAAATGACAGGTTAGATTAGGCCCTGTTACTAGTGCTATTAGAATCAGATAATGTAAAAGGGTTCTTTGAACTTAATATGTAGTCCCTCTTGCTAATTGGACATGCTGATTTTGGCTCCATAATGCTTTCCCTTAAAATAATAATACCAATAATAATGTTATAATACACACAAGAAAAAGTTGATTTAAAGCCATGATATGGTTGTTGCCATTGGCCATAAATTTGTAGTCTGGAGTTCAGTTGCAGATCTAACTGATTAGGATATCACATGAAAGTGCTGCGTTTCTGACAGGCTAACATATTTTGTATGGTCAGTGCAATTGGGTTATTAGTAAGCCAAAACTGGAATTGTCTGCTGTGGCTCTTGGAACTGTGTCTTTCAGAGGCTCTGCTGTGCAGGCTTTTGGAGTGGAGCAAAGTGTTGTGCAGAAGCACCTGGTACACAGGGTTGATTGGGGAGAACTCAGGCACTGCACAAGGCAAATCTCTGCCCAGTGATTACCAATCAATGTGTAGCACCAGGAGTGAAAAATAATTTAAATATACTCAAGATGGAGACCATATCATATAAAACCTCCATCAGATCTGAAACACCCCATAAACAAGGAGGAGAGCTGGAAAAAAAATTTAAATAGTATCAGCCTGTAAGTAGCAGATACCAAGAAAAAAAACACCAAATAAAAACATACACAAAAAAGAAGATACTTTCTTAAATGTCAGGAGGAGGGGAAGATAGATCAAATTGACCTTGTTGGTTTAGAAGTCCCAAGCAAAGACCATGCCCAGATGGGAATGGATATCTTCAGCCCCAGGGGATCTAGATAGCCACAACTAAGGTTACTTGGCCTCAGTGGTGTGCCTTTCACAGGACAAACATGTGGAGATACAACTGTTCACACCACCTCAGACACTGGCTAAAATTATTAGTTTTCTTATTAATTACTCCAGGTTGTTCTCCTGGACTCTACAGATGTTCATTATTGTTTTGTCTTAGGAATCAAATTACTAAGAGGTTGTGATAGGACCAGGTAGGAGCTGCTGGCTGCATTGTTGGAGGAACATGCAAGGTAATGCTGCACAGCTGGACTTGAATGCTGCGTGAAGCAAATGTGAGTCAGACTCCAGATTGTGAACGACACCAGGCCAAGGGAATGCAGACCTTATTCTTGGTTTGCTTTTTCAGATGAGTCCAGTGTTTGTTTCAGTTATGCCGGTCAGAGGAGAGTGATAAACCAGATGACTAATACAATGAAGAATGGAACAAGTAACTACCCTTAGCAATTCTGGAGTTTCCTGAATTTCTAAATATTCATGCCTAGAGTACTAATCCATTGTGCTGTCTAACCCTCCCCCAGTCTCTTGTCCCATAAGCATCATGACTTGATTTGAGCAAACAACAAAAGGTCTTTGTTCCTTCTGACAGTATTACATGTTGCCAGTGTGCTTTTGTGAGAGCACGTGTTCTCTGCTCGCCCTTGTTGGACTACTGGCACGGAGGGATAGATACTTTTTGAATCAGGACAATTCTCTACTCAGTAAACAGCTTGAATAACTGAGCCATAGGGCTGTAACTCCTATGCAG